GGGGCTGGCGCTGGGGGGGCTTTCCTTCTCCTCCGCTCTTTTGCGTTTCTGCTTTTTTTGCTGCACGGGGGGCGGCTCGCTCGCTCACGCCTCTCCCCCTCGGGGCTCCCCCCGCTGCGGTCCAGTTCACAAGTGCTTCCCGGCGGCCCCCGGCGCTTCAGGAGAGCAGCGCGCCCGGCTCGCCAAGTCTCTCAGCGCGGGGCCCGGCCAGCGTGCGCCGCGGTGGGAGGAGGCGGAGGAGCAGAGCCGCCCGCAGCCCCGAAACCCCCGACTCCAGCACTCGTGGTGGCGGCGGCGTCAGCGCCCAGGAGTTTGTGCAGGTAATATTTGGCGGTTGCGAGGTATCGAGCGAAAAGAAAAAAAAAATAAAACCAAAAAAAAAGAAAAAAAGACCAAAGAAGAAAATAAAAAGAAAAAAAAAAAAAAAGAAAAAAGGTGCCCGAAATAAAATAAAACCGTAAAAGCCGCTCGTGCGTTCAGTGAGTGAGTATCCGCGCGGCCGGGAGCGCGGCGCCGAGTCCCGCGCCTACGGCGCCCGGCGCGCGCGGAGCCGCCACGGGCCCGGGAGCAGCAGCGGGTGCAGGAGCCGGCAGCCCCCCACGCACACGCGCAGACACGCAGGGAGTCACGCAGGGCCCCGCACCCGGCGCCGCGCGCGCGCACGCCGCCGCCTCCGCCGGCCGCAGCTGAGAGCGGAGCCCGCGCCCGGGCCGCGCGCCTTTATGTCCTCGCGGCGCGCGGCGCGGCCAATGGCGCGCTGTATCCAACGCGCCCGCGCGCCAAGCGCCGCCCGCCGCCCGCCGATTGGCGCGCGCCGGGGAGCAATGAGCGGCGCCCGCGCTGACCTCATTCCCGCCGCCGCGGCGAGCGCTTTAAAAACGGACGGCGGGGCGCCCGCGGACACGCCCCCGCCCGGCAGGACACGCCCCCCTGTGGGCGGGGCTTCCCCCCCCCCCCGGGAGCCGCAGCCTGGGGGAAGGGGGATAGCGACCCCCTCCCCCCGCATCCTGCCCCACGCGTGGGGTTCCTCCCATCCAGAGGGGGGAGGGGAGGAAAGGGGGCGTGCTGGCCAGAGGGCCGGCGGAGAAAGTGGGTTGGCGGGTGGGAAGTCGGTCACGGGGACAAGGCGGGGGGTGGGGGTGGGGGACCGGCGGCACCTGCCACCGTGGAGGGGGAAAAAAAGAATTAAGTGGTCGCGGGGCTGCATTGCAGGCAGCGATACCTATATATCCATATATATATATATATATGTATGTGTGTTATGTAGATGTGGGTGTGGAGAGAAAGTAATGCACAAAAATACATAAATAATGCAAAATGATCGTATAAATAATGCAATGCATATAGATATAATGGAAAAACACGTGTGTGTGTGTGTGCATATGTATATATATATATATATATATATATGCGTGTATTTTTGCATTATTTGGCAAAGCTGGCATCGCGACGGATTCTTCGAAGCCGCCTGCCCAGGTCACGGTCACTCCCCCCGCGACGGGCGCCGGCGCCGAGCGGAGCCGCTGCCCCACGCGTGGCACCGGCGGCGGCGCGGGGGGCGCGCGGGGCGCGGGGGCCCGTGTGCGACGGGAGCGGGGGAAGGGGCCGCCGCCCGCGGGCCCCTCGGGGCCACCTCGCAGGGGGCCTCCTGCTCTTTAACCCTTTCTTGGGCTTCTTTTTTTCTTTCTTTTTTTCTTTTTTTCTTGTTCTGTGTTTGATTTCTGCCCACGGTGATAAATATTGAGTAAAGGGACGAACAATTTAAAAAATATATATGCATATATATACACGGAGAGAGAGACAGAGAGTGATTGGGGTTGGGAAACGTTCCCTAAGGCTCTGCAGCCTCATAAAATAAAATAAAATAAAATAAAATAAAATAAAATAAAATAAAATAAAATAAAATAAAATAAAATAAAATAAAATAAAATAAAATAAAATAAAATAAAATAAAATAAAATCACACCATGCAGTGGCAGTAAGGCTGTGAAAGATGCAGTGGTGCTGCCCCCCACATATGTAGCGCTCCTCTCATCGACCACTGAGAAGGTGCTGAGGCGAAACAGTGCTGACAATTGTGCTGCCACAGCCCATCAGTTGAAAACGCTTTTTTTTTTTTTTTTTTTTTTCCTTTTTTTCCCAGCCTGTTCTGGTTGGCATCACCTGAAATTTCCGTGCGTGGCCTAGCAGTGAGTGGCGGGTTTGTGTGGGAAGGTCTGTGGGAGGATCCCGCTGCGAGGAGGCCAGCGGCCGCCCCGAGAACCGACTCTTGGTGTAAGGTCCCGAACTCTGCTCAGCTCTCATGAAGCCCCGAGAAAAACCCTCGGCTCCTAACACCTTCCTCCTAGGAAACTCGCCTTACCCAGAACATTTGCAAAGATACAACCTGACCTACTGCTCAGCTTGCAAAATGAGTACCGGCTGTTTTCTGTTTCAGCTTTTCCAAGCGTTCTCTCCCAAAGGTAATGTCACATCCGTGGCCTCATGTACCATCCACTTCCATAGATATCAAGAAATGAAGTGGGTTTGGAGCCCCAAATCCTACTGGTTTTATTTACACCCTTGTCACTTGCATGGAGTGTTCTCAGAGACTGTGACCAAAAGCAGCCAGGAGCAAACGGTGCCTCTCCATCCTTCAGCATGGATGGAGTCTGAAAGGATTCCAGTGACCAGCTACCACATTTTACATATGGGTAGGAACTGGATTAAACTGCAAAGCAAGCAAAATAATCCCATGTTTCCAAAGACAGGTTAAAACAGAACAAATACAAACTAAAGCAACAGACACAAATAAAACCGATAAACCAATATGCAGACATAGAAAACACTGCTGAGAGATTTTTTTTTTCACTCATATCACAATGTGTGAAGTCTTGACCACCTTGAATAAAAGTTGTCTCCATGTGAGCTCATTTTCACTGTAATGAAAGCAGTCATGTCATTTAATCTTGGTTCAAACTGTGTGTACACAGGATGGATAGATGAATATTATTCCCCAAACGAAAAATGGCAAAATTCACCAAAGCACCACTTAAGACCCTTTAATAAAGCAATTGTAAGAATACGATGTGAAACTCTGTAAAAGCCTTTTACTACCATTTCTTGGCTGTTTCCCTGACGTTAATTGCTTCCACCCCTAATCCTCCCAAGTCGGACTGAAAGTGCATTAAATCTCCCCAAATTTAAGCATGGGCGTAAAGTGCGAGCATCCAGCTTCCATCAGTGAGGCGCTTTCAGCAGCCTTGGCAAGGCATCTCCGCGTGTTACAAGTGAAAAAAAAAAAGAAAAATTAGAAAGAAAAAAAAAGAAAAAAAAAAAAAGAAACTCCATTCTATTTCCTGCAGGCCTTTTTTTTTTTTCTTTTTTTTTTTTTTTTTCTTTTTTCCAACCTGGAGGAGAGGGACGGGACGCGAGGTGGCAGCGCTGAGCCTCTCCTTCCAGACGTGGGAAAACGTGGCTCTGATAGCCCCGGGACTTTATTTATTTATTTATTTATTTATTTATTTATTTATTTATTTATTTATTTGGGTCTCCGCGGAAGGGCCCGCGCAGCGGCAGGGCCCGCGCTGCCCCCTGCCCCTTGCTATAGCGCTTGGCTCCTCACCAGGAATCTCGTCAGGCCGCCGGAGGAAATTAAGGCCATCCCTAATAATAATAATAATAATAATAATAATAATAATAATAATAATAATAATAATAATAACGCAATTACGATGCCCATAGCGCACAAGTGCAACCGAGGGTTCGCTCTGCACGTAAAGCGAGAGGAGCCCTTTCCGGGGCGCTTATCTATATGTTTTATTTCACGGGAGCCACTGGCGTGCGCGGCTCCCGCGTGGAGCAGGCGCCTCCCACGCCGCCCCGCGAGCCCCGAGCGCGGCCCGACGGGGCGGGGGCAGCGCGGCGGGGGCGGCGCCGTGAGGGGCGGGAACGGGCGTGGAGCGGGCGGGATGGGATGAGCGGGGGTGGGATGAAGCTCTGGGGAAAAAAAAAAAATATATATATATATATATATATATATATATAAATCTCTATATATCATTACATATGTATTTATATTTAAAAATATGTTTTATATATACACACACACGCACACGTATTTTATCCATATACACATATACCTTATACATATATATTTTTTTCCCCCTTAAAAATGTCTTTACTGCTTCTAAGGGTATTTCTGTCTGCCATCGTGGTTCTGTGATTCACCGCTGTAGCATGGATTTTGCCCCCACATTCTCTGCTGGGTTTTAAATAGGCACATCCTTGCGTTTATTTTATTTTATTTTATTTTATTTTATTTTATTTTATTTTATTTTATTTTATTTTATTTTATTTTATTTCATTTCATTTCATTTCATTTCATTTCATTTCATTCCCTACTTGGATCATAAATAATGTGCTCGAAATGGCAGAACCAGTTTTCATCCAAGGGTGGCTTGCTAAAGAGCACCTTTCCCGCATGTTGCTCCTGCCTGTTTTGATGCAAAGAAAACACAGTTTGTGAGAGACTTATGAGTAAGGGATGGGGGAGGATAAGTGGGAGGAAGAATATCTTTTCCTTAACATGCTCATAGGGTGTCTCCGTGATTGAAGGATCAGAGGTGTGAGCCGAACCACGGCAGTGGCCCTCCT